TTCACGGTTTGCGAACGTGTCGCTGGTGATCTCCTTCCAGTTTTTGCGTCATTCTTCCTCCCATTCATCTTCTTCAAGCATTGGCCGATTGAAATACCGACAGCAGTGGCATAACGTGGATTCGTTTCACGCCCTAACGCATTTGCATTCGTCTGCATTTCCGGTTTCCGAGAGGCGGCGATCGTTGCCGATCAATTCGCGATTGGATGGGATCGTCCATCCGTTCGTTCGTTCGTCAGAGCGACGCCAAGGCCGCATTGGACGGTGCGTTCAATTTATTTATACTTTACGGTTGCCGCAAAGTCCACGGCAAGTTCTCGTTCAAGGCTGCGCGGGTGACCGCTAGAATTTTTCTGCGGCCGTTTTTTCCACGCGTCTTGGTAATTGGTGCCGAGTGCCGATAATTCTCGATTGAATTATGCAAGGCGTGCGCCGGTTGTTTCACGGAACCGTCGGCTTCTCAGTTCGCGGAGCGCGCAATTCTTTACCGCAATGCTTCGAATTCAAATATCCGCGGATTGATCGATATTCAGTCTCTCTGTCTCCGGGGCTTCCTCAGTCGGAATTTTTATTCCATTTTCGACTTTAATATTTCACTCAGTATTGTAAGAAATAGGTACGTCGAAGATCACTATGCTTCTCGCTTTAAGACATATATTTCTCTGGTATGTTACAATCTAATTCTCCACTGTCCTGCGAAGACTCTTCTCCTCTCCCTCACTCTATCCTTACATCCAAGGAGAGTGCCAGCGCCTTTCTTAAGATCTTCCTCGATTCCCAGCGCACATACTCGTTAAATCTCCATTGATTACAGATTTCTTATATAATCTCCTTTCAGAACTTTTTAATCGAGAAATAGATCGACATTCTGCAATGATTTATTAGTCTTTCATTTTATATGTATTATTTACATCTTAGGAACTCTGAAATGTGTCGTTAAAAATTTCTATATCTTTTAATAAGACAGATTTTGCCAGTCTCTTCTTGCATACTAAAAACATAATAAATGAAAAAAATTTATTTGAAAAAAAAACAGCTTGTACAACTTCTCTTGTAGACAAAGCAATACAGCGGAAGTGTGGATTCACATTTTTTAAATAAAATGAAACGATTACATTTTTATGTCGTTATAATTCTGTGTAACAATGTAGCACAAGTTTGATAGTGCAAGCTCATAGATCATAACGATGCATACATTGTCTCATAAAATTACGACGTAAAAATACAATCATTTTATCTAAAAATTCCGAAATTACTTGTTACACAATCCATTCAATAGATTCAATTTTAAAATTCCAAGAAACAGTATCATTATAGAGGAAATTATATAAGTTGCATTCTTCGAGCTGAGATTCGCAGAGCTCGCGATTATCGTGTAAACGCCAGATTAAATTAGATTGAACTTTGAAATCCTGGCGAAAGATATTGAAGAAACTAATGTAAACTTATGTAAGCACGTGTAATGAATGATTGGCCCCACCGGGCTTTTTCCGCACCCAGGTGGCTATGCCGTAGATGAGGAGACCGTCGATCGCGACCAGGGCGGCTACTCGATCGGCGAGGGATGAAATCGTAATGAGATCAGGCGAGATGCCGGATCGCGCGTGAGAAAGGAGAAGGCGCTACACGTTCGCTATAACGCGAACAATCGCGACGAGCCCGACCACGGGCCCCGGTTGAAGCGACAATGGGGTCTTTGCCGAATCTTCACGAGCTGTCCAAGGACAAGCTAGAAGGCCCGGTACACAGACCGGCGCCGATCGGCGGTCTTGGCCCGATGCGATTGCCCGCGCAGCCTCCGCCGTTGGCCCACACGCACAGACGCGCCAGGAGCAGCGGGCATCATCACTCTACCTTGTGCGACAATGACGCGATGATGGAGGTAACACATTAACTCGTGAAATCTGTCGAATCGCTCAAGATCCTACACGAAAAAAGAGATTTCAATTACCCCACATAGGTGTCTAGCTCCGATTTGGATGAGCTTGAAATATATTGTAATTCAGACAAAAAAGAAAGACACGTATTTTTTATACGTGCCCAAGCGGGCTTTTAAGGGAGCAAAACACGTCTTTGAAAAAAATCGGTTTTTTTTCTTTAGGAGCATGTTTCGTCAAAAGTATAAGAGATAGAAAAAAATTTTCTAGACAAAAATTAAATGGTTTTAGGAGTACTTTGCAATGATAAAATCAGATATTTG